GTGAGGCGAATGAAATGTTTGCCATCGACATCTCTGTGGCGGCGCCTTTTGCCTCCATTGTGGACGCCAGTGCCTCCAGCAGCACCGTCACCATCAGGAACACGCTTGTGCAGGTAGCTACGTGCACACACACACACACATACACACACACACACACACACACACACACCATCACCAACCAACCCGTCATTTGCATGCATACATGGGTCATGCATGCTGGGCCAGCTGCCTCTGCAGAATTGGGGGAGCGTTGCGCATGGTGATGCCGTGTGGAGATGGCCGGATGACTGTATAGCAAGCACCTCGCCAAGGCAATCTGCTGCATCCTCGGGTCTTGCCTACAACCCACCTCAAGCTGCTGCTATACATCCGTTCTCCATGCACATGCATTCGCAGCCCGTCGCCCGCATCTCGCCGGCAAGTCAGACTGTGGACGAAGGCTTGCCTGGGCAACCGACTTCTGCCGGGGCCCAAGTGTCGCTGACTGCTCAGCCGGTGGGTTCAAGGTGTTTGCAATGCTTGTAGCCAGTGCATGTTGCTGAACAGCCACGGGTCGCTGCCATGCGGGTCAAAATAGCATGCTTGCACGTGTTTCATGCGATTGTAATGTGCTTTCACCACCTTTGCTGCCCCCTTGTGTTGCGATGACACAAAACGACCAGAGGCAAGCTGTGCTGCGCCCTCCCACTTGCTGCTGCTGCGGCCACCTCGCTCAGGCCTCCGACATCACTGTGAACTTCACCACGCGTGACATCACAGCCACCGCGGGTGCTGACTACACTGCCACGAGCGGGTCGCTGACATTCACGCCTGCCAACTGGGCTGGGCCCCAACAAGTCACTGTTGGCATCCTGCCAGACGTGCTGCTTGAGGCGAATGAAACGTTTGCCATCGACATCTCTGTGGCGGCGCCTTTTGCCTCCATTGTGGACGCCAGTGCCTCCAGCAGCACCGTCACCATCAGGAACACGCTTGTGCAGGTAGCTATGAGCACACACACAACCAACCAACCAACCAATCAACCCACCAACCAACCAACCAGTTGGTTGGATGCATGCATGGGTGATGCATGCTGGGCCCGCCGGCTCTGCAAAGCCAGGGCAGCCTTGTGCATGGTGTCAGAGACGGCCTGGATGACTGTATAGCAAGCACCATACCAACGCGATCCGTTGCATCCTCTCGTCTGGTCGCACTCACGTGAGCAAGCCGTCCCAAGCTGCCGCTATACACCCGCCCACCGCGCACGTGCATTTGCAGCCCGTCGCCCGCATCTCGCCGGCAATCCAGACTGTGGACGAAGGCTTGCCTGGGCAACCGACTTCTGCAGGGGCCCAAGTGTCGCTGACTGCTCAGCCGGTGGGTTCAAGGTGGTTGCAATGCTTGCAGGCAGCGCGTGATGCTGAACAGCCACGGGTCGCTGCCATGCGGGTCCAATCAGTATGCTGGCGCATGTTTTGTGCAATCGTATTGTGCATTCATCACCCCCTCTTGTTGTGATGACACAAAATGACTAGAGGCAAGCCGTGCTGCGCCCTCCCACTTGCTGCTGCTGCTGCGGTCACCCCGCTCAGGCCTCTGACATCACTGTGAACTTCACCACGCGTGACATCACAGCCACTGCGGGTGCTGACTACACTGCCACGAGCGGGTCGCTGACATTCACGCCTGCCAACTGGGCCGTGCCCCAACAAGTTACTGTTGGCATCCTGCCAGACGTGCTGCGTGAGGCGAATGAAATGTTTGCCATCGACATCTCTGTGGCGGCGCCTTTTGCCTCCATTGTGGACCCCAGCGCCTCCAGCAGCACCGTTACCATCAGGAACACGCTTGTGCAGGTACCCCGCGTTTGCTTTTGGCAGTAACTGTGTGTCGCCACTGGTACACACCCACACAGCGGATAGCATCACTGCAGCGTATTGACTGTTGCTATAACTTCAAGTGAAAGTAAAATGCCATGCAAGTCGTATTCTCTCTGACCCTAACGGACTCTGGCTGCTGCTCTCAATCACCACCAAATTCGCAGCCCACCGTCCGGATTTCGCCAGGCAGCCAGACAGTGGACGAAGGCGTGCCTGGCCAGGCTGTGACCGCAGCTGCCCAAGTGATGCTGACCGCTCAGCCGGTGAGTATCCAGTTTGTGTTGCCATAAGGCTATGATGGTGGCAGGGCGCTGGCGGCCAGGCATGCAGTTGCAAAACTTTAGGATCTATGTTTGCTGTGCTATCAATCTCCATTCCCTTGCCTCTTTATACAAGGGGGAGGATGGTTTCGCGTTGCAACTGCACTTGCCCTTGATTTGCTGCTGCTCCCTGTTTCCACCATTCTGCTCAGGCCTCTGACGTCACAGTGAACTTCACCACGCGTGACATCACAGCCACTGCGGGATTTGACTACACTTACACAGCTGGGTCGCTTGTCATCACACGTGAAAATTGGAACGCGCCCAGCTCCATAGCCGTGCCCATTTTACCAGACAGGCGTTTTGAGGGGGACGAGGCGTTTGCAATCGACATTCTGGCGCCGCTGCCTTCCGGTCTGCTGCTGGACACCAACGCCTCAAGCAGCAGTGTCACCATCAAAAACACATTGGTGAGTGGCGAGGGCATGGGGCAAAGCAGGGCATGTTTTTTGCGGGGTATGTTTGAAAAGCAGCCGCCATTGCCGCCCTGTGTTTTGTACACTTCATGCAATCATATGAAATGCTGCTGCAATTTCACTTACCAGCCTGATGTTTCCTGAGCTTCTTGCTTTGGGCAAAATTGTTTACTTGATTGATCCCTGTGACACCCTTCCATCATTTGATTGCTCATTGAGCCTGCTCCCCTGCTGACATCACCCTTCTGCAGCCGCCCAACTCGGTGGTGTCACTGTCCATCCTTGCTGATGCTTCCCTCCCTGACAACGGGACAATTTGGAGCGCCCGCCGTTTCAATAAAGACCCCACAGTGTGCCTCAAATGGGTTGTGACTGGTCTGACCTCCAGCGTCAATGGCAGCTCTACCACCGCGCTCGTCAGCGTCTCTGCGGCCCAGCTACGTTCAAGACAGCGCGCGTTCAAGCGTTGGACCTCGCCCAAGGCCCGCTTTGGGCCAACGCCACCCCTTTCTGGTGTGAACACCTATTTGATCGGGGGCCTCACGGTTGGCTCGTGCAAGGCCTACTACGCCACCCCGCGTGTGGACATTCCTGATGAATGGCTCGTGACGTCGGGGCGCAGCGCGGCGACGGCAACGGGGTTAGGGTGGCGTGCGGAGGGGTCGGTGTGGTCGGCCTGCGTCAAGATCGTCAAGCAAGGCTGCCACAAGGTGCGTTGACCAGCTCACAACTTTAGCAGGGTAGATATGGACGTCCAGCAGGTCGGGCTTGTGCTGAGCGGGCGTCTCTTTTGACACTGTGCAGCTGCAGGAGGCGCTGTGTGCTTGAGCTGAGCGGCTGACGGTGTGGTCATGGCACCTCGTGATATGAGTTTTTTCTGCGCTGCAAACGCTGACTAACGCGCACCCATGGCCCGCTTACCACCCATGACCCTGCCCCCTGTTTAGGTTCATTTAATTTGGGACGGGGTGCTCGTTGCTCACGCAGTGGTTGAAAGGTGATAAAAGGCGACAGCTTTTGCTGGCGTGGTTGCGGGAATGGTTTATTGGCAAGGCTGCTGCAGCAGCAACAGCTAGTAAGTGCGCCCCAATAGTAGCTGCCATCTGCCTTTACATCACAAGAGTGCATACTGCTGCACATGGCTCGACTTGTCCTGGTGTGTCGCACCCGATGGACAACTCTGGCGATGCTCAGACCCCCGGACGCCGCTGGTGTTCAACACGAATTCCTTGACAGCGCTCGCCAACAGCTTGCTTTCAAACACCTATGCTACTGCGCTGCTGCGCGGCCCCGCAATGCCACCTGTGGAGAGGCATACTTCTTCAGTGCTTTGCACACAAACTTCCCGCCGGATGCCGGTTCACGAGTTTGTCAACTGCATTGCAACGGCTCACATGCTTATCTGTTGGTTGCGACCTGCGGCTTGTGCCATTGTTGACCCTGTGAACCTCCCTTGTGCCAGCTTGCGGGTGTTTGTACGGCAGCCACATCAGCACCGCCATGTCCGTATGTCACACATGCACCATATCTGGAATTATGTGCTAGCCTGAATGATGTTTGATCCGCAAGCTCTGATGTCACGGAGCGGTTTAACATTGTTAATGGTTGGCCTCTCAGGCTGCTGTGACTGGAGCCGGGATGTGAACACCTCAGGTGCCAGGCAAGAGGGGGTTGACATGTTGAGCAGCTGCCCAGCAGCGCAGCTGGATGGAGGTGGCATGTGCAGGGGTCGGGGGTTTGAATCGCTGAAGGTGCCCAGTCGCTGTTTTTGCTGAATCAAAGCCTGTCCGTCACAAACTGTCTTTTGGTGCAAGAGCGAGGTAGTGTTGACGCACACACGTACACATCGCGTTGTTGGGCGTCTTGCCATGTGGTTGCCCAAAGTTGTGGCTGTTGAGCCCGTCAGGTGACTTTGCAAGGCGTACAATTGGTGGTCACGGATGCTTGCACGCACACCCCACGCAACCCTTGCCCATGCTCTTGTCCTGCCACATGTCCTGCCACACGGGCATTATTGCACCAAGCGTTAAAAGCCACGACTATGCCATTAACGAGTCTGGACCTCACAAAGGGGAGTGCTCTATCTGACTTACTGCCGCGCTAGCTGTTGAAGGCGGTGGGCCGGCCGCTCTTCTAAAGGGCGTGATCTGGTATATAGATGCAGGGAGTGGGACAGAGGGCTGCTTGTTCCAGAGCGGCTCCGCTTGGCTGCTCAACCTGTGAGGGGTCTGATGAGCGGCCAGCTCTGTCGTCTTCGCTCTGAGGCTTCAGCTGGGCTTCAGCAAGTGCACGGCGGGTTTGCTGTGAATAGGAGCCAAGCGGGCCTCTCACCTGGGCCCCTCCCATGTGCACGCGATTTGCTGAATGGGTTTGGAGTTGAAAAGGGTTTTCACCCTTTAAAACCCAACCCTTTCAAACCCCAACCCCATGCAATCCTATGCATCACTCTCTCCTGCAATGCGCGGATGCACCACCCCCGTTGGTTCTTGAGCCTGTTACTTGGTGTTGAGGATTAAAGTGCGCAAGCTACTTGCGGTAGAGCATGCAGCCCCCGCCAGCGCACCAGCGCGCACAACCATGCGCGCATTTGCCTTGCACACAAGTGTTGGTTTCATGACAAACAGAAGCAGCTGGAGCAGACAAACACCACCGAGAGAAAACCTCGGATAGGCCCATCAATAACAGATCGCCTTGCCGTCATTGCACGCCTCTGCCATAGGGAGGAGAGCGAAAACTCGCAGCGTCAACGGCGGCGGCGCTGCGGCCTGCTGTTTCTGCGGGTCCGAGCGCCGCGGCGCCGCACATGCACATCCGCACAAGCATTTCCATACTCGTGCACGCACGCGGTGCCTGCCTGGATGTGTTTTGTGACCGCCGGCCAGCCTCAGGTGCGCAAGGGCGGGTGGTGATAGCGGGCAGCGCAGGGCCGGGGGCCCGGGTACGCCATGCGGTGCCGAGGGGGCGCGCCTGGCCGCGAAGGAGCGCCCAAAACGGCCGACTGTGGCGCCGCAATGGGAATAGGGGCGGGGCCTGCAAACCCCCGCCCGCCCGCCTGCCGTGCTGTGGGGCCACGCGGCCGCTCCTTCTCGCAGAGCGACCAAAGTGTGGGAATGTTGCTATGCGTGCCGGCCAAAGGAAGAGGGTGTGGGGGTTGCGCGTGTATACACATTGGGGCTGGCGCAGGAGAAGCGGGGAACGGAGCAAGGTCGGACATTCGCTCCTCCAGTCCTCAAAAAGAGCGTCTTCCAGTCCCCCAAGGACCTGTGGGGGCCAGAGACAAACAGGTGATGCAGGGGAGAGCGCAAGATGCTTGCCGCTCGTGAGCACCAGCACCTGCCGTGCCGCGCCGCCAGCAACGGGCTTGTGTTTCAGCCCATTCGCGCTGGGCGCAGGTGGGAGGGCGGGCCGAGCGCCATGAGTGCTCTGCAATCGGCCACGTCCCATGCGCGCCCTGGCGATGCCAGTGGTATGGCCACCGGAAAGTCGGCGCCTGGCCAAGGTTGCTGGCCCCACAGCCAGTGGCGGCGGTGTGTGCTCATCAGCACCAGCGTGGGGCGCCCTGCCCACGTACACCAAGCCAAACAAAGAGAGTTTGGGGTGTGCCAAGGGCACCTGCGAAGGCGAATTCCCGGCGCCCGAGGCAAAACCCGCCATTGCTATGGCCTGTTTTGCAGACGCGCTCTAAATCGCCGCAGAGCGCAACGGCCCCTGCATCTCCGATTTCACCGTCCTGGCGCGGGCGCTACGAATGCACAGCGTTCCCGGCGATGGGTGCGGGGCGCACCAAAAGCCCCCTCCCCTTGGCTCTTCGTTTGTTGGCCGTCCAAAGCGCGTCCAAGTGCCGTCAACGGAAACGGCATGGTGGCTAGTCAAAAAAAGTGCAGTGGCCGCCGGTACGAGGGCCGATGCCTTTGCTTTTGAGATGAGCGAGAATGAGGTTGATGTGCGCCGGTCACTTGAGTGCGCGCCTCTGCGCACCTGCATGCAGCGTGCGGCAATCGGTGGCGGGTGCCGCCGCGACGCAACCCTGCATCAAGCACGGCGAGGCGTGCAGCGCTGACCACAGGGCGCGGCGCATGCACCTGTGGGCGCGCATGCGCAATCGAAAATGACGCGGGGCCTGGAGGGGGGCTCCCCATGCCAGCACAGCGGCGCTTTGCAGCGCTGCGGGCGCACTGCGGGTCGTCGCCGCCCCTGCCCCTGCCCAGCGTCCCGCCTTCTTGCGTCTTCGCGCGGCCTCTGCGGCCCCTGCTCTCGCTTTGTGCCAGGCCTTGTTGCCCGTGATGCCCCATGTCCCCAGAAACGTACACTGTCCCACAAGCCCACGCACCATTGAGGTGCGAACGGGCGGAACAAGCGCCCCCAAAACCCTCGTCGGCGCAGGCAGGGGCGCGCCGGCTGCGCGCAGTGTGCAGCTGCAGCCGACACCCCTTGGGGCGCAGAAGCCCCCCGTCCCGTGCGCTGCACTGGGCGGTGCGCGTGAGCGCTTGGTTATGCTTGCACTCAGGCGTTGCTTGCCGGCCGCTTGAATCGCGGCTGGGCAAGGGGCGTGGGGAGGGGCGGCGCCGGCGCCCGGCGCGCGTGAAGCGGCTGCGGGGCGGCGGCGCGCCTGGGGACGCGCTCAGTGCGGCAGCGAGTAGGAGGGCTGCAGCTGCGAGCCCATGCCTGGGCTGTAGCTGAACGACCGCCGGACCCCGCCGCCACCGCCGCCGCCGCCGCCGCTGCGGCCGCCGCAGGGGGGCACGCCGCCGCCAAAGCCCCCGGCGCCGCCGTACGCACCGCCGCCATAGGCGGCGCTGCCGGCGGCCGGCGCGAGCGCGGGCGCCTTGAGGGCGCCGATCAGGTTCTGAATTATCTGGAGGTCCCTAATCAGCTTGTCATCCACCATGCCCTCATCCTTCTTGGATGACAGCTGGTTTATGAGGCTGCCAATGTCCAAGCCCCCTTCCAAGTCCGCCGCCGCCCCTGGGCCCTGCGCCAGCGGTGCGCCGCGCGGCACGGGCGCGCGTGGCGGGGCGGCTGCGCGGCCGGGCGCGGGCGAAATTGGGGGCGCGCCGCGGCCGCCCATCGTCATGCACAGACCCGCCTCGGGCGTCGGCGTGCCGGCAGGTGTGGAGGGCGCGGACGAGTCCTGGTCCCTGAGGCCCATGCCGTCGAGCCGCAGCGCCAGCTGCGCGTGCGCCGCGCTGCGCCCGACCATCGCCGCGCTCGTGGCC